GTCGCATCATACACGGGATATAAAACTAGCATATGTACTGCTGGCGCTGACTACGTCGTTGACCAAACCATTTTAGTCAAAAAGCTGTACAGCTGTATTGAAAATAAACATCGCATGTTCCACGAGTATATACGGTAATCAAATATCTTAATATAGATCTTATGGAACTCTCCGGTTATTTTGTCCATTGTGGGATTTTAGTAGTTTGCATATGTAATTATCGTCATGCCTTTTAAGGGTTGAAAGGTCAGTGAATTCTGATTTTTTTTTCAGAATGTGTACCTGAAAATGTTCGTCAAAATAAGTCGTCTGTAATAAAATGTTCTGCAAGTTTTGTTGACGACACTGTAAAGACAAAGCTTTATTCAACTGAGAATAAAAGGTTCGTGTATAGTGTCCTTTTATAGTCCCAGTAAACAGAAATAGCTCTCTCAAAGACGAGAGTAACAAAACAAGGAGAGACCACTCTTGATTATTCATAACAGTCGCATTGTTGTGTGTGACATCCTACTTGTGGCCATTAAACCTAAAGAAAGTGTTGCGTCTCTGAGCTGCGAGTAGAAACTGAGATATGATCATTATCAGCCGACCGAAATATCTAAAAATCGGAGAGGACATCAAATCAAATAATAATTGTATTAGTTTAAATGAAAGTTAAGATAAAAATAGGAAGATGATATTCAAGACGAACATCGTTTGAACAAATTAATTTTAAATGTAAGTAAATAAGTAAGAAAAAAAGCATTATTAATTCGCTTGAAGTTGGAAGAGAAATGTACTGAATGCTAACGATTCTTTCGGCCATTTTAGATGAATGGTCGTTAAACAAAGATATCCATCTACTGATATACAATTTCAGTCGTTGATTGAACAATGCAGTAGAATTAGTTACAGAGAAGTGAGTAATAACATTTTATTTAATCATTCCCATAGGCATTTCATGAGTCGAATTTGATTGGCCAGGATGGCTTAGCAATGTGATTTTTTTTTTTTTGTTCTCAACAGTTAATATGTTTCAGAAATATGGAAATAATATACGCTTCTCTAAAATGCTTTTCTGGACGCAACAGTGCAATATTTTAAACTAGCTTAAAAGCCCCCACCCCGTGCGCACTTTTCAGCTAGAGTAGAGCTAATTGGTGCTCCAGCCTAAAAATAATGGGGCCTTTGGTCTAACCTAGAAAACAGCAATGATAATTTCGAAAAAATAACTTTGAATTCCTCGATTCACTCCATGGAGTTTCAAAACCCCACTTTAACTCTGATTCGAGCTATAAGTCCGAGTCCGACCAAAAGACCAATATGGACCGAAAGTTCGTTTTAGGCTGAAACTCTGATTTAGGCTGAAATTCCAATTCAGGTCGAAAAGTGAGTTCTTCAAATCACAAACTCCGTGGGACTCCTGAAACCTCACGTCACGAAACTTCTCATTTTAACTGGCATTTTGAAGAAATAACTTTGAATTTCTTAAATCACTCTGTAGAACTTCAAAACCTCACTTTAACTCTGATTTGGGCTATAAGTCCAATTGCAGCCAAAAGTTTGATTTAGACTGAAAGTTTGATATAGGCTGAAATTCCAATTTAGATTAAAATTTCAATTCAGGCTAAAAATTGAGTTCTTCAAATCACAAACTCTGCGGAACTTCAAAACCTCACGTCACAAAACCTTTCACTTAAAGTCTGATTCCTTGGCATTTTGAAGAAATGCCAAGAATTCTTCAATTTATTCAATGAAAGTTCAAAACATCACTTTAACCATTTGTGCCAAAGGTTTAATTTGGGCTGAAAATTAAGTTTTTCAAATAAAAAAAGCCATGGAATTCAAGACCTCACATCCCAAAACCTCTCACATTAACTCTGATTCCTTGGCATTTTGAAGAAATAAAATTGATTTCCTCAATTCACAAAGTCTTGAAGATATTTTAAACTGAATTTAAAACAAACATTTTTTTTTAAATTCACAAAGTTTTTGTGTTACTTTAAACTCATTATAAAGAAAAACTTTTAAAATGGCTAATTTTTTTTCAGCTATTTTAAAATTTGAATTTTTAACTATTCCCTCCGGAGGAAGGAATAATTTGCTGCATATTCAAGCGCCAGATAATATGTCTATGTAGAGCAAGTGTGGCCCGAGTGTGAGGGATTTTAGTCACAACGACGGACAGACAGAATTTGCCGTTTATTTATATATATATGAATATTATTTATTTGTATATACTTGAAGTAGTTTTGTATGAAATTTGTACGTACTATTGCAATAATAACTAGCAACCCTTATCCTGATTTGAATATGGGACCGGGTGGTTACCAAAAAATGACAGTGTCACGATGTCAGTGTTGTTCTACGTTAACAGCGTAATAAAGTGAATAAACTGAATCCAGTACATGTGCTTTATATTACTGTATTACTTGTTGTTCTATTGTTCTCATTACTTTTGGGTAGGCAGTGTCAAGACTTTCGGATCACCTATTTATCTTTTTGAGTTATGTAAACCGACACGAAAATGATGGTGTTCATACAGAGCTTCTCGATGTGTGACAGCGTCAATGAAAGCGAATAAACTGAATCCAGTACATTGGCTTTGTATTACCGTATTGTTGTTTTATTGTTCTAATTACTTTTTGGATTGAATTGAAGAGAATAAACTGAATCCAGTACATGTGCTTTATATTACTGTATTACTTGTTGTTCTATTATTCTCATTACTTTTTGGTAGGCGTGACAGGACTTTAGGACCACCCTGTATATCCGTCTTTTTTGACACGTGTAAACGGACACGAAAATGGTGGTGTTCGTATAGACCTTCTCGATGTGTAGCAGCATCAATGAAAGTGAATAAAGTGAATCCAGTATATGTTCTTTGTATTACTGTATTACTTGTTGTTCTATTATTCTCATTACTTTTTGGTAGGTGGTGTCAAGACTTTCGGACCACCCTGTATATCTATCTTTTTGACACGTGTAAATCAACACGAAAATGATGGTGTTCGTACAGACCTTCTCGATGTGTAACAGTGTCAATGGAAGAGAATAAACTAAATCCATTACATTACTTGTTCTTCTATTGTTCTCATGACTTTCTGGTAAGGGGTGACAAAACTTTCAGACCACCCTGTTCTTTCTCGAATATTTAAAACTTCACAGAAAAATTTCTCTGAATTTCTGGGATGAAGAGTTCTTATTACTTACATTAATTACATTCACGCCATTGTAATCGATTTTGTTCATATTGTCATAAATGAATGATATGATCCCCGTTTATAAATTCCAGTTGCATAAGGTCTTTTTAATTTTTTACATGCTATCGTCTGTTCTACTTCCATACCTGATGATGTCTGTAGGAACAGACGAAAGCTTGTAAAAAAATTAAAAAGACCTTATGCAACTGGAATTTATAAACGGGGATCATATCATTCATATACAGGTTCGGGGTTGATGTATCTTATTTATATTGTTTGCGAAGATGTATTCTCGCCATTTAAATCATTAACCTCTATATTTATTTGTTTTTTGTATGAATGATTCATGAATACATCTATCCAACCAAATATGTTAGCTCTATCTCTGATATTGAGCGCTTTCTAATAAGTACCGCGCATATAATATATAAATAATTATACATATATATATTTATTTATATTTATATACACTTTTCATATATATATATATATATATATATATATATATATATGTATGTATGTATGTATATATATATATATATATATATATATATATATATATATATATATATATATATATATATAATTAAATAAATTACAAACATTATGTATATATAAAAAATATGATTAAATAATTACAAACATTATGTCTGGTCATTTTTAGCATAATCCATTCATATTGCATCAATTAATTGTAATAAACGGAAAAATATCCGTGAACATGAACAGATTGTGCTAAAAATAAGCAGACATAATGTTTGCAGTTGATTTAAATCAGACATGTCTAAATATACACACGCACACACATAGATAGATAGATAGATAGATAGATAGATAGATAGATAGATAGATAGATAGATATTTTAACATCTAAATTGATAAATTCTGTATCAATTTTTCGAGGGATGTCAAACTTAAATTTCTAATTCCGACATGAACTCAGTCTGTACACAGGGGTTGAATAAGACTCACGTAGCTTTTGTCGGTCGAAACAGATCTATACCCCATCATATAAGGTAATTTTGGATTTTGTTGTGTAATACTATACATATATATATATGTGTGTGTGTGTGTGTGTGTGTGTGTGTGTGTGTGTGTGTGTGTGTGTGATCCTTTTATATTATTTTTCGGTTTTCTCTTGCTTTCTATCTTCCCCCCACTCGGTGCATTCTTTTCCCGCCTTCTTCTCTCTTTTCCTCTAAATGTCGAGAAAGTATAACAAATTTCGGTTCAGGCAGCAGACAAATACTACACTCTGCTTCCGAAAACATATTTCCCATGCATAAAAACGCAAAATAATCGCAGAAATTATTACATATCTTACATATCAGGTAGCATGTCTCAACGCTGTACAGGGAATTGACAGCAACAAGTCAGCTTAAGGATGTCTCCATCTTCGTTTCAAACATGAAGACACCGGACCTGGAGGCAAGAACCACGTAGACAGAAGAAGAGAGACTGAGGATTGCCGCTTAGGCGAGACACGCTTCAGCTTGTGCGCACTGTCAGTGAAATGATCGGATCGCATTTAATATTCGGATATACATGCTATTCCGGTCGATGTGTCTAGCATAGATTTGCGATACAGGAAAAGACTTTATGGAAGTTTTTGTGGGTCTGCACAGGCACAACACCAATGCAATAAAACTAGTAACTGCATCTACAGTGTCTCGTCGAAAATCCACGATTACTCGAGAATGATCGACGCAACTTCGCCTGTAAAACTCACTTCCGCTTTCTTTCTTCCCTGCCACCTACGACCTTCAAAACTTTAAATGCAACGTCAATCGCCATCTTCAGTCTTACGACTGTATTACGTTGCACTACCGGTTCCTGTCTGATCACCGAAGTTATGCAACGTTGAACCTGGACAGAACTTAGATGGGTGACCGCTGGCGAATACCAGGAGATGTAAGCTTGAATGTGCGGGTGGTGCAATGGATAAAGGCTCGGAATGAGAAATCATAGAGAAGAGTTCGAATTTCAGTCGGGTTCGTTATATTTACTTACCTGCAAATACCCTCGGGAAAGAAATGAATCCACCTCTTCGTGTCCCAGCTATGGGTTAAATAGTAAAACTTGTATCAAAAAATTATTACTATCTCCAAAACATTCTAACAATCCAAAAATATGTTTCGGCTTAAAAAATAACCTCACAAAGGTTAATAAGCCGTAAAAAATAAATCAATCAAAATCTTCCTCAATCCTGTTCTTTTGTTTTTCTTCCTTTTAACTAAAGTTTTCTTAATATGTTTCACTCTCATTAATCCATTGCTTCTGTCCGCCTGGCTTGGTGTGAAATGATAATATATATATATATATATATATATATGTGTGTGTGTGTGTGTGTGTGTGTGTGTGTGTGTGTGTGTGTGTGTGTAAGAAGGTAGTCTTTCTTCGGTCTTTTCTATAAATTTTATCGTGGCAATTGTCCTAATGAGCTCTTCTCCTTGGTACTCCGACCGCATGAATTTAAGCGTAATACTAGATTGGCAGTTAGGTCTCATCGCTTTCCTATTGTCCTAGCTGTAACCGTAAGTTCTATTCTAATAGTTTTTTTTTTTTCTTGCCTTTGAAACTCCCTTCCGGTTTCTTGCCTCCCTGTCAATTACAATCTTCAAAAATTTAGATGCAACGTCCATCGGCATCTTCTTTTTTCCTGAATCCGGTTCTACATTGTTCTTTCTCCTCCCCAACGTCTTCTTAGTGACATTATCGCCTTGCTTGGAGTGAAATGATAAAAAAATCCAATCTTCATATGATTAATGTGAATCACATTCTGTCTCGCCATTTTAGAAGTAAAATCCATTTTCATGATGACGCTGTTTGGACATTTTAAGAATTAAATCACCACAGAGAATATTTTCTGCCTGTCATCTAAATGCTAAACCCCAGGTGAGCAATATTTCGCTCCTTCTGGGGCTCACGTTTTATACTGACATGAAGTGGAGCGACTTTATTCAATCAATTACTACATCTATTGCAAAAAAGATGGTTAAGTGTGTCATGCCAGAAAAAAGGTTTTCTCCTCAGAATCTATCTTGTACATTTATATATATATATATATATATATATATGTGTGTGTGTGTGTGTGTGTGTGTGTGTGTGCGAATGTGAAAAGTGTGTTTATATAAACATAAATATATATATGTAATATATTATTATTATATTTTATTATTATTATTATATTATTTTATAACATACTTATGTTATAATTTTTTTATATAAAAAATAATTATATCTGCTCTACTTTGTATTGAGCACTATTAATAATAGTAATTGTTGGTTATTGGAATTCATTCCGTATATACCAATTATATACTTGGATAAGTAATATATTATATATATTATTATTTATATATTATATGCGCGGGACTTATTAGAAAGCGCTCAATATCAGAGATAGAGTTAACATATTTGGTTGGATTGATGTGAGTTTAGACCCTGGGTTTCACGCTTTTGCGATCGTCAGAGTTTGTCTGACGATCGCAAAATGCGTGAAACCCAGGGTCACAAACACACATCAATCCAACCAAATATATATATATATATATATATATATATATATATATATATATATATATATCGAGATTCTTGACAAATTTGGCATTTCGACTTCAGTCACTGACGTGACGGACATTTCTTCTGTCTTTTCTGCAAATATGTTTGTTGTAGCATACCTACGGACGATAATGGGTATGTCCCCATTCATATAAATACAGTAGTGAATACTGTATGTTGATCTCCAGTTAGAGATTCGTCTCCAGCTGTGCTGGTCAAACTCTACCTGCGGGTAGAGAGAATCCCCAGACGAGGCTATGTCGAAGGCCAGATGTCTCGTCCTGGGGAACAGCTATCCGACTTCGTTTTATACAGGGTCTACTGGGGATTTTTGGTCGAGCCTACGGGCTTGGATATCCCACTTTAAATTCAACCTTGTGCCACATCTGACCGCGTAGGGTGGTTTGTAGATATCCTACAGTTGGAGATTTATTGTCGAATTCACTTGACTCACTTCTAGCAGTTGACTACTTCTTCTACGCGCTGCTGGCGAATCTTATATGTGTTGTTCTTCTTCTAAGTATTATCGTCCATTAACAACCTTCGTTTGATTATTCTATTCAGTAACCTTTCCTAGGTTACAACTATGTTCATAGCAACTGTTCTGATGAGCTTTTTTTTCCTTAGTGCCTCGACTAAATGAATTTAAGCGTGCTACTGGATTGCCAACTAGGTCTCATCGTTTTACTCTTGAACTAGCTAGATGCAACCGCCAATAGAACTCCAGCTGTTTCCTTTCTCGAACTTCCTACCTGTGGGACTCCCTTCCTTTTCCTTGCTTCCCTGATATCTACCCCGAGTACTTTAAGCAGCGACCGACTAACTGAAATCTGTTTCTACTTTAAATAACAAACAATGAGTAGATAAGCTGTAAAATAATAAGAAATCCTAATCGGAAGTTAATGCTATATTCGAGCCATGTTCTTAAATAGTCTAGTCAGATCGAAACTTTAATATTGATGTCCAAACACGTTCAGAAATCTCTAAACTGCCAATTGTATACCACCGCCTTATAAGATCAATTGTTAAAATGGCTTTGAGCGAATTAATTCCAAGGAACTACCTGATTGTAAGAACCTTATTCTTCCGGCATCAAAAAACGTTTTTCTGTTGCCTTACGCGACCATCTGCGAAATTTGGGTATTTCGTTATATAAAGTAGATACAAAGGTTTCCCGAAATTCTAAACAATATATTTTAGGCATTTAAATTCAGAGCATCATTATTCAGACATCAAACTATTTTTCTGTCTCCCATGAAATCATATCACAGTTAAATTATGTAGACCAATTTGATACATATATATATATATATATATATATATATATATATATATATAGAGAGAGAGAGAGAGAGAGAGAGAGATCAGGGCTACAGGAATGTAGGACGCTCATGGCTAAGATACAAAGACAAGCTAAAAAAGCAACTTGTCAGCAGTTAATATACCGCATAACAACCTTGAGCGCTTAGCCTTGGGGCGAGTAGAATGGAGATCAACAGTGTTTTAGTGGACTCAGCAATTTTCAATCTGCTTGTCTGAATCATCTTCAAGAAGCGAGAGCAAGATCTAAAAGGTCAACCAATCTAACAGTGATCTCATCTCACAATCCTCACACTTGCTCCGTATGTGGCCTCCTTTGTAAATCACTAGCGAGTCTTAAATGCCACTTAAGATTATCGCATAAACTTTCATAACTGAATCAATAAGCTGGCAGATCCTCATACGTCGAAACCGACGGCAGAGTCCATTATTATTATTATTATTATTATTATATATATATATATATGTGTGTGTGTGTGTGTGTGTGTGTGTGTGTGTGTGTGTGTGTGTGTGTTTTTTAATGCAGGGGATGCATGAATGACCAATGAGAATCGACCCCAAAAAATTAAAATACCAAAGTTCTGTCTTTTTCTCTGTTTTCTCTCAATCTCTGACACGTGAAATATGTTATGTTGATAAACATTTCCAATTTGTTCTTTATCTTATCATCCTTTCAAATTCCAATCCATATTTGATCTGCATTTGATCTTCAACTCATATATATATATATATATATATATATATATATATATATATATATATATATATATATAAAAATTGAACATTGAAGTCAACACTTAGAGGCGACAGGCTGTTTCATGCTAGACGCAATCTAAGTGTCGCCTCTAAGTTTGACTTATATGTTCAATTTTATATTTACACAAGCTCTATCTCTGATATTGAGAACTTTATTCCATAAATATAGAACACCTTAAAACTATATTTCTTTATATATATATATATATATATATATATATATATATATATATATATATATATATCGCTCTCTCTCTCGCCCTCTCTCTCTCTCTCTCTATATATATATATATATATATATATTATTATTATTATTAATAATAATCAGTTTTCAAACTATTTCACGACCTTGCACAACCTTTCCGCTAGATTGTTTATTTTATCATATAAGGCTGTTGCAAATGTCTTTGGTATATTTGTCCTGATTATTGCAATAATTATTCACATTGATTCTTATCAAAACACAAAAACCTTTTTTCTCCAGTTGATTCTTTTGAAGACAGTCTTGGATGTCTTCCTGATTTTCTTCCTTTAGGATATAAAATATAAGTTCGTTTTATATTGCCAGTTGCTATCTTCTGCAACAATCATTTTTTTTATCGAACAGGCAAAGCAAATGTTTAAACAATGGCGTTCGTTTCCGTAGCTTAAGGCGGAAAGTATTTTCTAGTTTTCTTCTTTTTTTTTCCTTTATTTCTCCGCTAGCTTGTAAACCATTTAAAACAAATGCCTAATTACACAACCAATGAAAAGCCGCATGCTACTCAAAGACAACCTTAGAACTCCCTTAACTTTCTTTAAAAGGAGGAGAAAATGAACATAGAATAGGTTGCGTTAGAAGTAGTTTTGCCTAACACCCTAAGACATTAACAGGAAAATTCGAGTCATGTTCTTAAACAGCATTATATTAGACACAGTGATACGAATGCAGAAAGATTTATACTCGTGTTTTATAGATTATGCAAACGCACGTCACAAAAAATTGTTGAAACTACTACGTAACCTTAACATATTTGGGAAAGATATTAGAATAATCCAGAACTTTTACTAGTAGTAAACCGCCTGCATTGGGAGAGAAAATGAATTCAGTAAATATACAAAAATATAAAGGGGTCTAAGACAAGGATGCGTCTTCTCACCAGACCTTTTCAATCTATGTAGCGAGGCGATGCTGAGAGAATAAAACGTCCTACCGGAATTCATTATTGGTGGCCACAATTTTAACAATAAGCGGGTGACACAGTAATGGTAGCAGATACAGAAAGGAAACTACAAGAAC